CCAGTGAGCAAAGCATAGCCCGAAACAATTGACAGCTAACGATAATTTGTCCAGTGCTGCTTGGCACATTTGGGCGATGTCACATATGAGAGCACTGTCGTCCGCATACTCCAAGTCAATGAGTTACTCACCGGGAAACAGCTCCACACTGTGTAAGCCATGTACAGCGAACGATACTTCCATAACTTCCTCAATGGCAAACTTAAAGAGAAAACGGGATGGCGGGCAACATTGTTTTACATCGCTGGAGACACAAGAGCGGCGAATGTTTGTCATAAACCCTCACTCTGCCCAAACTATGCTCGTAAAGCGATCTGATAATGTAAACGTATTTATCGGGAACACCTGAGCAGACAGCCCTAAAGGTCACATCGATCCACCGAATCGAAGGTACCTTTGATATCGAGGAACACGACAACGGTGGACCGCCATTCAACGTAGAATGAAAATGCGATCGATGCAGCTGCGTCCTCGAAGAAACCCGACTTTCTCTTCACGAATCTGGCTTTCACGAGTGCCAGTCAATTTGTGAAGGATGACGGATGCAAGCAATTTGGACGCGATGGAAATCAGACTGATTCCTCTATGTTTGCCACCTTCCGAACAGGAGCCTCCCTTGAAAATTGGGGCTATAACTGCGCGGCCCCATTCGGTTGCGACAGTCTCTTGCTCACACCGTTTCACTAGTACCTCGTGTAAATCATCAACAAAAATAGATCCGCCAAATTTGAAGAGGGCCGGAGCGATTCTAGGTACCCCTGCAGCCTTATTCAATTACAACAGTCTGATCTCACGTTCGATTTCTGCGCGTAAGAATGGATTCAGGGAGTAGAGTGATCAGTGGCCGATGGAGAAGCTGACAACTGACTAATTGATCTGCTTCTCAGTGTTCGGTTCAACACTCCAAGCGTTTTGACAACCTGTGGATCGACTGTTCACTCGTCACGTATAGCCTCGCTAACACCTAGTCTCCTGCTGCACTTTTCACGTATCTGACCGAATAACTTCCGATGGTTTCAAAGGGCAGCGCCTGTCCATCTCAGACCCAAAATGAGACATCCAGACCTCTCGCTCTCTCTTCAGGCTACCACGTAGTTCTGCTCTGAGATTTTTGCGAGTCCCATTATGTTCGCTTTCGGCTCGAACACGTGGACCAGAAGTTCCAGAGACTTTGTAGAGACCCGATGTCTAGGTTGGCATGCCTGTTCACAGTAATGTCTGACAAATATGCGACCAGTGATATTCAGTGGTGTTCAGTGGGCGCTTCCCCAGCCCGGATGCCAGCGTACTTTGATACGCATTCAGAATATCTGACTTCGCCAGTTGGATGGTGCCTATGCGCTCACAGCGACGTTGCGGACGTCTGCCGAAACGCACCCGCAAATCGGCACACATAAGGGCGTGATCGAAGTCTACGCTCCTGCTCCAAATCGAGCGACAGTTTTGGGCATAGCCTCTCCAGCGGTAACCGATCGCGATGTGATCGGGTTGCGTCTATGGCTGGTCCGAGGCTGGTGGACCTCAAGTTACTCTTCTGCTTGTGTTATGTCGAAAATTAGTACTCACGAGGTTGAGACGAGCATCTTCACACAAATGTAGCAACGGCTCACCGTTCTCATTACAGGAGGCTACACAATATTGGCCGCCCAGATGAAGCTTATCTGGGGACAATTTTCTGACTTGAGCGTTCAGATCACCAGTAAACACCACAGTATCCTTATTTCTTCTGTAACGAAGGAGATCGTTAAGTTGGTGGGCGCGTATACAGCATTAACAAACAGGCACCGTTTGTCTGCACGCGACTTCGAAGCCTGGAAGCAACCAGTCAATCTGACTGCGCACATCCGGCTGTTGACTGGAATCCACTTGTTTGGGGCAGCTTCAGGCCGGCTTGATGGGCATTTGAAGCCGCGTCATCTCCAAACAGCAGCAATGAGAAGGTGCCGCCAGTGTTGCATGTTGGTGTTCGCAGGATAAGCACGGAGGTCGGATCTTACAAGCGGATTTCCGATAAGCAGCACGCATTGATCGATAGGGTCTCTAGTGTCCGGGTATATGCTTCCTGTTGGCCAACCTGCTGTAAATTGCGCAGGTTGAGGCATGCCAGTACTAGCGAGGATCTTGGGCTCCAAAGAGAAACGGATGAATCGACGTTGTCCGCTTGGTTGAACATGTACTTGTAGACTGGACTGGAGCGATGCCCTGCGATTGTGTGCGAGTTGTAACTAGAAGTCAAGCGACTATTGAAGCAAGACCGCGATGGGCCAAGAATTGGGTGGTTGAAAACGGGGGGATAAATGTGAAGTTGGAGCGGGGCAGTAAGGATCCAAATGCGCAAGATAGGGAATGAGCAGACAGGATGACCTGAGCAATAGCATGCAAACCCTTATCCACTCTGCCCTAAGTAGCATTTAGGGTGCCGTTGACTATCCTTTGCGACGGCCAGAGCATCAAGGGATTGTTTAAATGGAGTCACTGAGTTATATTGCTTGGGCAGGATACTGGTTGTCCAGGCCTAGCAGGAGAACTCGAAGGGTTCTTAGCCAAAGTCTTTGCTTCAAAACCTGGTTGCAAGGCTGTGGGGTTTCGGCACTGGGCTACAGGGAATCCGTTTTATGGAGTAACGAGCCACCATCACTCCAACCTGGAGGGCCAGGAGGTTGTGTTTGTCTGGTCTCTAACCATTGACTAATCTGGCATAAGTGGCTCTGAATGTGCAAAAAGCACCGTATAGCATAGCTCAGTGGATCACTGAGGCACACAAACCATCGCACCACATTAAGTTCCAGTCTGGTCGCGGTGGGGATGGACGCTGGAGAGCCACTTCATTTTATTTGGGCTTATTGGTAGCCTGTACCTCTCTCGAACATCATAATTTTCACATTCACTGTACACCACATTCGAGTTTACCGTTCGTTGCGGTCGAACATATTTTCTTTTCTTAGTTCAGCTACAATGCGCCGCCTCTTACTGAGTATGCTCTGTGGTTCAGCGGAACGAACACTCAGTTGTGTATAGGCAAAATTGTTGCAAGCTTCATCCCCGTCCATTTTAGTTATCGAACTCCTCTCTTTCAAATCTTAGGTCTGATTTTTGGAGCGTCCGTTTCGTCCTTGCTTGCTTCGGTTGGATATGATAAACTGAACTGCCAAGCGGACAATTTTCAGGTTTCCCCCATCTTCCTCAGCGTTTTTGTTTGCCCTTCCCAAAGGTTCTGTCATGCAGTAATAACCCTGGTGTCTTACCCTTCCTCATTTTTAGAGGTTATTGCCTGTACTGGAACAGATAGATCAGCTTCATCTGGACTTCGCCAAACAAGCCGCGGTGAGTTGTTTTCTTGGGATTGCTACGTGTTTTAACTTATCACATCAATTAACTATCTACTGGAAATTGACGTTAATCCTAGTGAACAGAGATCAGTGTGCATTGCGTATCTCAACTACTACTTCTGTCTCGCTCGCTTGGTCATCTGAACGACTTTGTGTTTTTCCATATCTTGTGAGCAGTTGGTGTGGCACTACAGTCTTTTCATCGTCTTGTTTTTGCCTACATTGCTTCTTCGTGCTATCCCACATCAAAATCCATGACCCTCTACACGTGTGTTGGATTCCATTTGTACATTAGAGAGCTCTTTGCTTCGTTACCGATTTCATTTCTTTCAGCCTTTCAAAAATTGGATGGAACAAACAGAGGAGGACCTTCGGGACACGCCGATTGTTCACACAATGGCAGAAGTTCAGGTATCCTACATTTTTCGACGGAATGTTTATTTTGGGTTTTGATTTCTAACGTAACAAATATATTTGTCCTTTGGAAAAATGATGATTAACCACTAATATCCAATTAGGCCGCTTTCTCACTTTTGTGTTACCTTCAGTTTGACAACTTTTTTCCCCTCTCTCTATATTCCTCTCAGCGTTACCTTTCCGCGCATGAAGCTTTCGAAGCCACACTGGAAGGCACCGAACAAGAGTGCGTCGCCATTGAGGGCTGCGCAAATCAGGTCAAACAACTGGCTAGCAAAAATAAACTGGCTGCCGCAGCTGACAATCCTTACACCAACATCGATCCGGAGGTTCGTTCATTTTCCTGTGCATCTGGCCGCAACGTGTATAGACCTACCCCAGTGATACCATTGCCGGCGTACCTGCAACGCGTAACATTTCGCCATGTTCTCACCATCTGAGTCTTTGTTCATGGTTTTTTAATGTTTCCAAAATTGTTATCGCCCTACAACGGCCTTTCGGCTCACTCTCTTGCTCGTGTTCGTCTCTAATATTCTTTTGTTTAAGTTGACCGACCATCTAGTACAGCTGAACTGAATCGCTATTTTCCGGCTGCCTCAGAGCAGCTGTAATACACACTGGCGATTATATACTATGTGAATCTTACGACCACTGCCAGTAATGCATCTCCTTAGCCAGTCTGACGTTTTCGCACCCAACAGAGTTCAGCACCTATGCTTCCGAGCAATTGTAACACCATTGCCACTTATGACGCATCCAGTAGGGAAATGTACAACCGCCTCGGAGCTGTCTCGTTTCGTCTAGATGGGTTACTTTATCGCTGCCAGTCTTTACTTCCACCTTAGTCATATCCGACATTTCTTGAAGACGGTATTCGCCGTTGGACGCACTCTTGCACTATTTTCAATTTCTGATCCTACAATATTACTAACCTTTACCTTTTATTCTTAACGTTCTCACCCTGCTTTTTGTTTTATTTCTGGCTATTTCCCTTGGTCCAGCTCGTTGTTACCGCTACAGTTAATTTGGCTACCTGATTTACTCCGCTTTTTTTTCTTACTGTCCATTCCAGTCGATCCGAAGTGTCATCTGTGCTCACCGTTGACAATTAACTTGAACTCCATTGGCGGTGGTCACTGGATATTCAGTTACTCTCACTGACTTGGCACATACGCTTCTCACGATCCACCTAACCGGTGGACAGTCGTGCAACAGTTTCTTTCTTTCGCCCCTCAAGTTACTAGCTGCCATGTCGATGACTCGTCGAAGCCATGCTTGTTGAACTGATTGGGATAACCAACCATGTGCCTTCTTACTGTTTCCCCTGCTTAAAACTGCTTGCTTATTCTTAACTGTTTCGTCTTTTGACATGTGTTTTCTGGTATGCTTCAACGACGCACCATCCGTTTCGATTAAATTATCGCATAGTGTTTCCTTCATTTTGGCTGAGTATTCGCCACCGGCCCCAAGCTTTTATTTGTGTATGCATCCAATGTACCCTGAACTACACTGAAACCTGATCTGACCTCTCATATCTTCATTCCACGGTTGCCCATCACTGTGTACATCACACAATTTATAGACACGTATGCACTCACCCCATTTTCTTCATCCCAGGAACTCCCGGTGCGTTGGAAATTAATCAAAGAGCTAGCAAAAAATCGTAACGAGTCTTTGCGTCAGGAGGAGGAGTGCCAGCTTAACAACGACAAGTTACGGAAGCAGTTTGCAGAAAAAGCAACCGACTTTGACAAGTGGCTGCAACAAAAGAAATCTGAAGTAAATCGCAACGCTCTCGAAGGTCGTGGTACTCTCGAGGAGCAACGAGACCAATTAAGGAAGCTGGAATCTGAATTGTCCACCCACCAACGTGTATTAGATGCACTCGAACAATGCAGCCAGGTGAATATTCCAACTTTATCAAAGTAACTTTTTTTTGGCTTTCTTCGGTTCGTCGCACATACGTCCCCGTATCTTAAATCATTTCTATTTTTGTAATATCCGTTCCGCTTTCATGATCCACTCTGTTGGAGCTTTAGCATAATGTTCAAAGGTAAACTTCGCATCCATCAGTTCTAGCAAGATCGTTGAGTTTCAATTTACCCTTTAGTGGTTATCTTCTTTCTGCTTATGGTTGCTACCTCAAGCCATATTGTTCCGCGTCACCTAAACATTCTATGATCATTCCGTCAATCGTGAACATTTAATGTAATCAGTGCCTATTTCCAAATTTTATCCACTTCGTGTGCCTTCTTGAAATGTTCGTCTAATTACATCCTCAGAGTGATAATTGCTTCGATGGTCTTGTGCTAGACGCCACAGTTATTCACGTAGTGGTATCGGAGACATTATCAAATCATTGAGGCCAGTGGTGAGCGGGAACACAGCCATTCCTCTGTGCCTTAGTCGGTGACAACAATCATGAGTCGGATTGCCGACATGCGGTTAACTTAGTAAGAGATAACTGACGACCTCTGTGTTACCAGAGGCCGCCTATAGCAGCCTTGGAAGCCAGCTCTCTGTTTGAAGCAGCGCGAAGAATATTGGTCGTATGCCGCTTGTGGCTGATTGGCTAGCCGATGAGAGTAAGCCAATGGCATCGTCTTACCTTGAAGTGGACCAGCGAGAATGACTTGCCTTGAAACCTTCCAGTAAGGCACTACTTGAACAGCCAACAAGCGAGCTTTTGTGAATCTAGTAGCTGCTATAGTCAGGAACTTTCAATTAGGTCTTTTCTCCCATGAACTGTTTACTTTGACCCCATATTTTGCGGCACATTCCGTTTTCCGAGTGCTCCATTAAAGTTTCGCCAGGGGCCTTCTAATTTGGGAAGTGGCTGTATCGTGACCAGAGTAGCTGCATCAGTTATCCGTACTGTCAACAGAAAACACAATAGTTTTTGGCGACGGGAGCAGTTATTCAAGATGTCAATCTCGGCAGTAGATCTGAAAGCTATTTTGCTTCAACAGCAACAGCAATTCGAGGCGGTACAGCTGCGTATGATCGAGATTTTCACTCGAACCCTATCGCTCCGGTCTACATCAGTCCACACAGCTGAAAAGCCTCCAGTTGATCCAATAATCGACAGTGTCCGTGAGTTTGTTTTTCACCCCGCTTCAGGACTGATTTTCGATGCATGGTTCAGACGTTACGAAGATATTTTCAAGACGAAGTTGGTAAATCTTGGTGGTACTTCAAAAGTGCGGCTACTGTTACCTAAACTCAAAACTGTGGAGCACGACCGATACATCAGTTACATTTTGCCCAACTGTGCTCAAGATTTCAGCTTTGGTGAAATAATTTCCCGACTTGCGGTAAGGTTTGGCGATCAGGCATCGCTTTTCAACAATCGATACAATTACTTGAAGCTACGCAAGTGGGACTGCGGTAATCTCATTGTCCATGCTTTAACAGTAAAGCGAAAATGCCGGAAATTTAAGCTGATATCATTTACTGAAGACCAGTTTGAGTGTCTGCTACTGGTATGCAGTCTGCAATCTACCAAGAATGCCGAGATCCGAACCACAGTACTCAGGTTGTTGGAGCGAGACCCGGACGTCACTGCGAACTGTCATGACAGAGGCCCAGCAAATCCTCATTTTAAAACACAATACAGCTATGGTCGAGGATACAAAGGCGCATTCCAGTGATTTCGCATTTCAACAGATTTCGGGGAACCAATTTTCGGCCACTGATCGCAAGAATACCCCACAAATTAAACCACCACTAGCATCTTGGCAATGCGGAGACTGGCACTCTCTCAGATGGTGTCCATTCAACAAGCAAATCTGCCAGAAATGTCGTAGACGTAAGCACTGGAAAACTCATTGCAGATCCAAGCCATCTTTCAGACCGGTTCATGATGCACGAAAGAAAACCTACGGTGGTTTCGCGAAGAGTGAACGCTCATTTTACTGACGATGTCAGAGATCGTACAAAGTACATCAACAACAACATTACTGGATGACAGGCGCGTTTGCTAGTTGACCTGTGATGGCTTTATAGTTCTTTGACTTTGTTCTGTCCAAAAATCCTGTACACACTGCCTTGTATGATCTCCACGCTTCTAACTCAAATGAACTCAACCGGCACTCGAAGCACCCTCTGCCATTATCCGGCGAATATCAGGCTAAATAAGGATCCCTTCTTTGAGCTTCCCATCAATGATCTTCGGGAAACACTTGTTTCAGGTACTGGAACGTAAAACCATCTCGCTTGAGGGCTTTGACGAAGTTTTTAATCGAATCAAGTTTGATGTGAATGGGGTGGTAGAGGGATATGATCAGGTTTCACGTGAGGTGTATGCTTTACACTCATTTTCCTGCAGCACACTCATTCCTCTCTGGCCACTTTTCGACTGTGTAGTGCTGTTGAGTTGCCATACTGTCCCATAAGTACAAGAAAACGCAATAGTTTGTGGAACCTACTTGCATACCCATTAGGAGTCCAATGACTTTGAAGTCAGCACAGATGCTCCAACTGTGCTTATCGTAGTTCAGTGCAGCGAGTATCTGCTGCACAGTTTCGTAAGTCCCTTTCATAATGGTGGCATGCAACAGAGGCACAGTTGGGTACACATTTCCATTATGGGACAGTATTGCCTTAAGACTACTCTTGAAGGAGTCAATATACAAACGTTAGTCGTCGCTACTTTGCCGCACGCCAATCTCCTTCATCAGTCTTTCCACGTCAGAACAGTAACAAAAGGTTTCTCTCGGTTCATAGAAACCGGGCAGTTTAACACTTCGCCCTCTGTATACATTAATCTTAGTGCTTGCACCAAGTAAACTTCACGGCTGTAGCCGAGATGCCGGCAACGGCCTTATCTTTAGGCAAGCCCTTTATATATATATATATATATATATATATATATATATATATATATATATATATATATATATATATATTCAACACTATACCAGTTATAATATAATTGGCTGGGTGCCGCAACACATAAGAAGAAAAACAGCATGAGAAGGAAGACAACTGTTAGGGCAGTAGAGTCTCACAGCAAATACTCCATTGCGTACGGTTCTTGGGCGTATCCTCCAGCGTTTGCAACCAGCTGTGCTTGGGGTCCTTTGGTCCCCAACCTGACAACAGCCAGCTTCATCCTTTGTACCTTAACACATTGGATCCAAGTTTTATATTGCCCTCCTTTTCGTCTCTTCCAAGCCACACCTGTGCTCGCGAATAGGGCTCATCGTCGTAGCCGCTGTGTAGGCATGCGAAGTACATGGCCAAGCGAACGAAGCTTCCGTAGTGAGATGATGCTATGAATCGGTCCGCGGAGTTCGTTAGATCTGAAGACTCGCCGACGGATTTCTTCGTTACTGATGTGGTGCTGCCATGGAACACCAGCAATGCTTCGCAGACAGCGGTGATCGAAGAGTGATAGCCGCTGAACGCTTTTGCGAACGGGCCAAGTCTCACAGCTGTACAGCTGAATCGCTCAAACCGTAGCATTGTAGACTCGTCCCTTGAGAGCGAGGCTGAGATCACGACGAAGCCACAGGTGACGAAGGTTAGCGAAAGCGACTCTAGCCTTGGAGACACGCAGAGAGATCTCATCTGTCAAACTGCCAACACTAAGACAACTCCTAAGATAAATGAATTTGCCGACCGCTTCCAACGAATGCCCCGAATGGGTGAGAGAGGGACATGTGTTTGGCCAGTCCTGTAATAGAACCTTACATTTGGAAGGGGCAAAGCTCAACCCAAATTGGGCGGCGGACATCTCCAGTCTGAGCAGCACATGCTGGGCGGCTTGGGAGGACTCGCGAATCACGGCGATGTCATCGGCCTAATCTAAGTCCCGAAGGCGGTCACCAGGGAGCAGCTCAACAGCGCAGAACTCAGAGTTATCCAGGGCACTATCCAGGATCTCGTCCATGATGTAGTTGAACAAGAATGGAAAAGCTGACCAACTCTGTCTAACACCACTGGTGATACTGGAAGGGGGCGAAATGTCTCCGTATGCTCGCACACGGCCCGAAGTTTGATGGTAAATAGCACGGAGAATGCTGATGTACTTCTCAGGTACTCCCCTCTTCAATAAGCAGTCCCAAAGAGCCACTCTGTCAACAGAGTCAAAAGCGGCTCCAATGTCCAATAATATGAGTATGGTTGGTCGACTGAACGTATGACAACGTTCAAGTATCTGGCGGATCGTAAAGATGTGTTCGACGCAACCGCGACCCGGGCGAAATCCAGCTTGTTGTTCACGCAGATGCTGTTTCCGTACGCAACTGAGCCTCCGTAAGGGTAGTGCAGCGAGCAGTTTGGATGCGAAACCAATGAGACGGATGCCACGATGGTTGGAGCCAACGGTCCGGTCTCCTTTTTTGTAAACAGGTACAATATCCGCTAAATTCCAGTCGGATGGAATGGTTTCAGTAGTCCAAATCTGTTGGAATAGAGATGTCGGTTCGCGAGTGACAGCACAGGGCAGGAGGAATTTTATCTAAACCATCTGACTTGTGGCGCTTTAGTAGGCGAAGCTCATTGGAAACCTCAGCCTCTGTCGGTGGAGAAACATCCACGCACCAGCGAGCACTGTGAACCCCGGAAGCTAGACTCGGTTGCGCTGCTGGTCAGTTGAATTGATCTTCAAAGTGCTCTGCCCATCGTACCAGACGATGGTGACGACTGAATTAGTTCACCTTCATTTTCACGCAAAACCTTACTCAATGTTGGTCTTCTGCCTCCCATGGAGCGAATAAGTTGGAAACGTTTGCGGGAGTTTCCAGATGAGGCTGCCCGCTCCATCTCGACGACGCGCTGTGTCCACCAAATCTCGCGATCCTTCCTGAGGAGATGTCTGAGCTCAGCACCTGTGGTTCTGCATAGTGCGTAGTACTCAACTCCGGTGGGAATTGTTCGACGACTTTCCATTAATTGGA